CCACGTAGTTTCTGTTGTCCTTAAACACTTCCACTTTGCAAATAATACCATTTACAGGTGACTGTGGAATATCTAGCAGGAAAGAAATTTCGCTAAATGACTTATTGCGTGGGCGGCACGGTGGTGCAGTGGTTGGCACTGTCGCCTCACAGCAAGAAGGTCCTAGGTTCGGTCCCTGGGTCACCCAGAGTGCCTTTCTGTGTGGAGTTTGGATGTTCTCCCTGTGCATGTGTGGGTTTGCTCCGGTTTCCTTCCTCGGTCCAAAGACATGCAGCTTTGGTCAACTGACTACTCTAAATTGCCCATAGGTGTCTGTGGTGGACTGGTGACCTGGCCAGGGTTTACCCCGCCTCTTGCCTCAAGATGCTGGGATTGGCTCCAGCTTCCCCACAACCCAGATGGATTAAATGGTATGGATGGATGGACTTATTGCGTCCTATGACAGTACCACACTTGAATTCTTTCACAAATGCTTGTCAACCTGACTGCATGACTAGGTACTTCATGTTATACACTTGTGGCAATGAGTCTGAATGAAACACCTGAATTCAATGATTAAAAGGTGTGTCACAATACTTTTGTCCATATAGTGTATATAGATAGAGCACTTGATAAGCTCTTTTAATCATACAGAAGTGTTTAAGAATGCCCAAACCTTTTAAACTGCAAAATATTTTGTCTAGGTGTTGGAAGACTGATCACCATATTCCATCCCTGGTAATATTTTGGGAGATTGCCATTCCATTTCTTATTGAATGCAAGATGAAAACAGGTGGTGTCATGATTTTCTAATGTAGGAGACCAGCAGCATGAATTCCTTTAAGTACGTCTGTGCTGTCTGACTACTGCCCATCACTTCAACAATTATATATCATAGTACAACACCAATCAGGAGTAAATGACCAATGGTATGCATTCAATAAGTTCACTTCTGTTACATTTTTTTATGCAATTTTTCAAACTAGTTCAAGTAGGTCTCACAGATGGTAAAAACATATTCAAGAGAGAGTCAGGTAGAACAAAATATCAGCTCAGCCTTGCAGATCACGTTTACTCAAATTCTCAAGAAAATGTGTAGAGAAGGACTGGATATTGAAGCAGACGATGGACATTTGTTAACATCTAAAATTACAATAAATGAAAGATATTCGATAAAAATGCTGAAGCCTCAATATTTCCCAAAGTGGATATATTATAGTATCTAAATTCCAAAGTGTTCAAAATTACCAGACCCTTATAGCCAAAGAGACTTGATTTCATCAGTCTGTGGAACGGTACATGTACATTGTGGCATGCTGCCCCCTGCTGTATGTACCTGGAATTGCTTACATTCCTTGCTTAAAAGAATAAAGAAGGGTTCTTCATCAGACAGGTAAATCTGACTCTAGATTCTTTCTTTCACAAAATACTTATAATCATGGTTAATTCTGCTGTACATTATGAACAAAAAGTTTTTAATAATAGATATGGCATTTAAAAATGTACCCTGCATAGTTTTATCCACAGACATATATATGGGTGTTGTCATGGACACGTTTGTCCGAGTACGGGCAGGTTACCGATCCTTGCTTACAATAGTCCATTGCAAAATCTACAGTGAGTAATTTTATACATTCATAATATGTTTAAGATTAGTGACAAACTCCACTAGCATGAATATCGCACAGGCCCGCAGAAGTACCACTTGCGTTCTGTTAATTCGCTTTCAGATGGCTTAGCTCAGGATTCTGTTACATTATATCTTCTCAGACTGCCAGGATAGAGGACAGATGTCCCTGTGACCTGGGAAGAAAATGCCATGCTAAAGATTGAGCCACCTGATGAGCAATCATTACAGGTTTCGGTCAGTCACCTCCACGGGCTTTCACATAATTTTATTTCTGTGTTGCCCGGTCATTAATATTACTATAAATGAACTTTGGACCGCCATAAAGGGTGATCTCGAAGCCAGTGCAGGAGGGAATGTTGCAGTGTACGTGCAGTGATGTCTTATCGAGTCACATGTCCCTGTCCCCGGAAACAAGCCGGGTCAAAGTGCACAGAGAAGTAAGGAGATGGCCATCGATCACCGGGCCGTCCGATGCCCCGGCCTACTTTCTGAGGCACTTTTTGGAGTGCAACTGGGCTAGAACAGCATATGCAACATAAATCACAAAACCAAATTATGTTGGGGAATACTTTAATAGACTGTGAGGTCCAGGTGCGTGTCCAGTCAATCAGTTCTGACCCAAATTAAATATTAAACTCATCTAAAGCTTCACTAATATGATGTGGCTAGTCCATTTAATTATTCACTTTTTCACAAGGCAACATACAAATGAGGACTAGAGAGCAGGTTCAGCCAGCACCCTTGAAGCAATGCAGGTCATTGATCTTGCTCAAGTGCCCAACAGGGATATCTTAACTCTGCCAGCAACAGGATTTGAACCTACAACCTGCAGGCACAGATCACTGACCCACCAAGCTACATCAATTCCACGTTGACTTACCTGCAAAAATAAAAGTTAGTGAAATAAAGAAATGGAAAGTTGATCTGGGTAAATATAGGTTCTGTCCCATTCTTAGGGATCCTTGCACATCCAAGACTACCACTTGTCCTAAAAGGAAGATTCCTGTGAAGTAACATGAATCCAGAGTGATTTTCTACAGGCATGACTGACAAAGTCCTGACAAATTCCTGAGAAATTTTCTGGGCTAGAGCAGAAATTATGCATCTAGCCATGGAAATCCCAATGCAGCGGCGGTTTCTGACACCCAAGACACTGCCACCACCTGCCTGACTGCAGGTAGGAGGTTCTTGCTGAAGAATGGAGCACTTGACTTTCACCGCAAAAAACTTACTGACCGAAAAGTCTATAGGACACTGTTCCCTCAAGATAATTCTACAGCATATTTGAGACAAGTATTAATGTCCTTTTAAGGGAGTAATACTTTATTCCGGCTATTTATCCAACTTATGTCTGGTGTCCTAAAGGATGGTGGGACCATGTACACCGATTTTCGAGAAGGTCACACATACAGCCATAGAGGGACACTGTATGGGTGTTTTTTTGCAAGATCCTGGATCATTTTCCAGCCTTTGTCTTTACATGACTTTAAGTGAACAGCCAATGAAATTGAAGGTTTGCTTCTGTCCCAAATTTCCTCATTCTTCAAACTTCAGGAATTTCTTTCCATGCTTTGCCTCTGTGACTTGTGTGCTGACATCTATAATGAAGAAAGTGTCCATGATTAAGCCTGATTGTTTAATAATTAAGCCTAATTGCATCCTTTATCTATTAGTAGATGCAACATCTTCCTTATTCCAATAATCAGTCAAGCATCATTAACTGAGATGCTCATTAAGGTATCCTCCAAGGTACTAGTGAACTTTAAATGCATACAGTATACAAAAGCGTGCATTGCAGAAACAATAGCTGCAAATATTTTTATAATAAAAATATGAATGATTAATTGAGAATTGTCTCCTGATTAGTACAAAAGGGAATTTTGCATAACAAAGAATCTATTGCTGGCACCTCTGAATTCTTCCTGCTGAAATTTCCCTGAAATCTCATCGAGAATGCACAGGTCACGTGGCTCAGCATTCATAATTACAGGACGCACAGAATCTCCCCAAATTAGCTCAATGATCAATTCTTGAAGGTTATTTTATCTTAATGCAAGCAGGATCAATCCACAGCCCGATAAGCACTGGGACTCGGCAATCCCAGTGTTTGCAATGGACCCGAGCCCAATAATTTTACATAGGCCCCTCATGTCAGTGATGTTCCTTGACAATAATACCTAAAAACATTACTCCCTCCCCTCCCTCCCGCACACACACAAACACACAGACACACACACACACACCCATCTGTTTATATGAATTTTTTTTATTACTGAGAATGAGCACAGAGGCCCAGTAAAATAGGTGTGAAGGTACATTCAGGTTCTTCTGATGATGTACTTTACAGAACTTTAAAGTGACAGAACCTTGGGACTCAGGACCTCCTATCGCTGTGCCTTTACAATGGCAGGCCAGCCGTCTTCTAAAAGTACTATCCAATGAAATGTTAAGGAGGTGTTCCCTTAGCAACACATAAATATCTAGTTACTGAGGTGCAAGATATGCAGTAGAAAGAGATATAGTGCTTTACTGCCAGATTAACAGTCTCAGAATTAGATGTCCCTGGGCTAAGATTTCTACAGTTTGCAGGTTTCATAAATCATCCGTTGAATGACTCAACTGTCACCGAGGGATCAATGTGTTACATGTGTAAGAAATATGGTTCAGTATGGCAGTAAATATTATGTGCAGATCCCTGACAACAGGGAGCAAACTCTTAAGCATTAACCTAAAAGGGAAGTCTTAACTTCCTAACGGCCTCTCTGCCATTGTGGGAACGATTGTTCGTTATACGTTGCTGATTCATTTGGCATCATTTGTAGTATCATTTTAAAAATATATGATTTTAGATGGAATGGTGTGTCAGTACTTTGCTGACCTCCTTGGAGATATTAGGAAGTTTTCACACATCCAGCTCTCCTTGATGGCGAAATAATAATTCTGTTGGCTACGGGGTTCAAACCTACAACCTTCTTGATTCGGGAACAGATCCCTTACTGGCTGAAGTACCCACAATGTCATGAAAAGGTTGTCAAAGGTATCAAAGACAGGAGAATGGATTTTTTAAATTAAACAATGCTACACCTTAGCAGGCACAGAATAGGAATTGCTAAAACAGGAGATCTAATCTCTTACTTGTTGTCTATACATCTGGTTCCACTAATGATCAATTTTGAGTGTTTGTGCTTGCTGTGAAAAGCCACACTCTGTGCCAGAGATTCTCCTCCATTCTCCCACGCAGTATGCCTTTTTCATAGTTTGCCAGGAAAATTTCCAAGAAGAAAAAAAAAAAGAAAAGTAAACAGAACAGCTTCAGTACCGCAGTGCTGTCACCTGGCAGACTGGCCATATCAGCAGCGGATATCCCCACCCCTGTACCTGGGACCGGTTTTATAGGGTGTTGAAATTCAGACGCCTGCTTCGATCTCTTCACACACTGCGCCCTGCGGGACCCGGCACACGCCGCCAATCAGCTGAGCCCATGGAGGCAGCCCTTGCGCTCTGGATCCTCAGCACCAGCGCCTGCCTTTGCGGGACGGCCGCCAGCGTGAGGTGAGTCTCTGACCCCCTCCTCCGATCCAGACTCAAAAACGCTGTAAAGACTCATTGTGACATTACAGTGTCCTGCCACGGCTGATTAATTCAATGACAGGTAATTCCCGCTCCATTTTATGTTCTCTTACATCGAATATGCCAAGAGACACTATCTGTAGCAAATGGAAAACACATTTTTCACGTTAATTTCCTCACTAGACTCTGTATCTCCTTCAGCCCTGAGTAGTGTAGACTATTTATATTTTGACATATATTTTTTTGTGATAATTTCAGTCACAGGACCAATGTCACCAATTCTGCTGTCACCCTTCCAGGCTGGAAAGAAAATACAGGTCAGTGTTAGCATCTTATAGAAAATTATAATAGAAAATGTGTTATTTTGTGCTTTTTTGTGTACAGAAAAAGTTCAACAAAATTAAAAATTGATTGTACTAGTTTGAGTCTTGCTTTTTTTCATGGTTATACAATACACTTTGTTTTCATTTGGTTCCATGAAATTGACCAGATTTACAACAAGGCCTTTGTCTGTTTTTTGACACTAATTAACCTGCAGAGTTCTATATCCCCAATTTCTCGCTATGTTAGCTCAGAACAGAAAGGGCCCCCGACAGACGGCTTCAGGTGACTGCTATTTATTAACTGACTCCTATATGGTCTTCTTTCTTTCCCAATTTCTTAAGATTATTTAACGAGATGTTCCTTTGATGAAAGTGAAGATCTGCTATGCAGCTGGGCTCCTGAAGGGCAGGCCAGCATCCCGCCCCGACAAGGTACTGTCCCCTCTTTCCGAGCAGCAATTGCTGCGTCTACAACATAACACCACACGCCAGAAATATGATCACAAAAAATTTAGCAAGAAATACAGATCAATGCAACATTTATGAGTTTGGCTATCAAACTGTCATTTGCTGGGCCTTTATTGTCTATAATAGCCTCCAAGAATATGAAGTACCTTTCGTTTGATTCACAGAGCATTTTGCCAACAAAACTGTACTTTCAACTCTGTTTGATCCTGTTTTACAACCCGTTATTCTCAAACATTGTTGATCAGGAAGTAGGGAATCATGGATGGAGAAATCCAGGTAAATCACCACTAGGATACCTCACTCAGCCATGAGAGCAAGCAATCTATCACCAGAGAATGATGAATGCATGACCAGCAGCAGCCTGCTCATGCTTCTGCTTCAGTGAGGTGGTGACAAACACACGGCCCCCCCTGTCTCCCCATAGAGAATGGCCTGCTGTCCCTGTCTGGGGACACACGCCTCACTAGCGCCGTGCTCAACGTGTCAGGTGACATGTGCGTGGAGTTCTGGTTTCAAAAGCCTGGAGAGAACAGCACAGACCTAAAAATGCTAATACGGGATGATTTGGGGGAGCGAGAGCTCTGGAGATCACAGGGCAGTATGGATTCCTCCTGGATGCAAGTGTTTATCCCACTGTTCTATGATGAGAAAACTGCCTTTCAGGTAAACTCCCTCAAATTATTATACAAATGACTAGATATATCTTAGTTTGTGCACTATAAAGTGTAAACAGCCCTTAAAACTACAGTCCTTACAGCCCTTAAATTCTACTTTGTATTCATATTGCTAATGAGAGTTCAAACATTCTGCTTTTGACAGACTGTTGACAGCATTATGTCATGTGTCCAATGTGTTTTTTGGCAGGTGATTTTTGAGGCTACATCTGATGACAGCTCTGCAGCAATCGACAACATAGGAATCCGACAAGGCCTTTGCGGTAGGTGTCACGTTGTACTGCCATCGCTTGAGACCTAGACCTAAAAGAGCTCTTCCCATGTCCTTCCAGGTCAATTAAATAGCCTTGACTGAACTGATGGTTGAATGAATCGTTTACAATTTAAATTTGAGACTTAAACTTGTGTTAAACTGGACGCGTGCCTTCATGTGCCACTATCTGTCTGGCACAGAGTGTTATTCATAAATGCTAAGTGAACTGACTGTTTTCTGGGCATCTGAGCAGGAGAACAGTGCAGCCAAGGCCTCGAGTTCTGGGCGGATGCCGCCTGTAGCACCCGCTGCCACTGCTCCAGCCGCGGGCTGGCATGTCGCCCGGCCGCATGCCCCATGGAGCACACCTGCGAGGTTACCGATGGCGAGTGGGGCTGCTCCCCCACCTACAGCACCTGCAGCGTGCACACAGACCCCCAGCAAAAGAGTGCGGATGGGGCTGAGTTCCGCCTAGAGGGGCCCTGCAGCTACATCCTGACAAAGCTGTGCACCGACTCCGCAAACCTGCCCTACTTCAGTGTGGAGGTGCAGAACAAGCAGGAGCCCAACAGGTCAGTCTTGGCCATCCAGCAGGTCAACATCGAGCTCTACGGCCTGAGGATTTCCATGCTGCGTGCTGAGAAGCGCAGAGTCATAGTGAGTTATGCCTTCTTCCCATAATGTGAAGCTGATTGATTCTCACCATTATTTAGATGGATTGTTCTATTGAATCTATGATACAGTAATGTCACACCCTCCAAGAATTTTCATTTCCTATTCATCAGTTTAGGGTGCCAGCGTGGGTCATATTATTGCCTCCTGGACTTGAGGGGTTTGCATGTTCTTTACATGTGATTTGGATTACCTCCCACAGTCAAAAGACCTGCAGTTAGGCTAATGAGCATCTCAAAAATGTTGTGTGTGCCCTGCAATGAACTAACATCCTACTGAGGGTGTACTCTTTGTTTCCTGTGATAAACCCTCTGCCAAAGACCCTGTACCCGATAAGAGGTTGGAGGATGGGTGGTTTTGAAGTACACTTCACAGCAATTATTACTGGCGAACGCTTGATGCCCTTTACTTCCACGTTCAAGGTCAACGGGATTTGGAGGATACTCCCATTCAGTGTGGAAGAAGACCTGGTGAAAATCCAGCCAAGTGAACATGCCATTACCTTAACAACCGACTTCCAGCTGATGGTCTCATTCAGCACTGACAGCGCAGTGAGAGTGAAACTACCCACCATCTATGACCCCAAGATCTGTGGCCTCTGTGGGAACTTCAACCATCTGAGAGCCAGTGATCCCCGGGCCCTGGATGCTGGCTGGGGCTGGCAAAGGGAGTATGCCACCTGCGAGACGTCCTTCCTTCCTCAGCTGTGCCTCCAGCAGGAGGAGGCCGAGTACGAGAGCGAGTCCAGCTGCGGCACCATGATGTCCCAACACAGCCCCTTCGCAGCGTGCTCCTCCGCTCTCAGCCCCGAGCATCATTTCAGGATGTGCGTGCTGGACATGTGCTCCACGCATGGAGACGCCCAAACCCTGTGCAGTGCCCTGCAGGCCTATGCTTCGGCCTGCCGTACGGCTGGAATTGAACTTCAGGCCTGGAGAAACTCCTCCATCTGTCGTAAGTCATTTCCTGGATTTTCCCAACCTGTAGTGATTGAGTTTTATAAACCACTTAAACACGCCCAATGCTACAAGGCGTTAATGATAAACAGACTTACGCTGACAGTGGCCGTGTGAATTAGCTAGCTTAGCCTCCTCGTTTATCATTTTCTGCAGTGACGTCTACACTCACAGCTAGCTCTTCTGATTGATACTCTTCCTGGGGGGTTTGCTTTCCTTAGCTATGACGTGCTCCAGTAACAGCCACTACACCCCGTGTGCCAGCGGTTGTCCCGCGGCCTGCTCGCCCATGGACACCCCCTTGACCTGCCCATGGACCTGTGAGGAGCGCTGCGAGTGCCTCCCGGGCTTCCTGCTCAGCGGGGGGAGGTGCGTGGCTCCCAGGGACTGCGGCTGCTGGAGAAACGGGCAGCACTTTATGGTACCGTGACGACCCCCCGGTTTCATTCTGTATCTTTGCCTTTTCGGTTACACACAGTAGTTGGGTAGTTGGGATGTTTGGGACAACCGCAGGGATCCCTAATGGAAGCATTTCTTGCCGTTTCAACAGAAAGGAGAGACGTTCATGGAAGGTGACTGTGAAGCCCAATGCCAGTGTATAGGAGGAAGTGACATCCGCTGTGTCCCAACATCTTGCTCAAAGGACGAGGTTTGCAAGAGCAGGGACGGCGTGCTTGGCTGCTTCCCCTCGTCCACAGCCACCTGCCAGGCGTTCGGGGACCCCCACTACATCACCTTTGACGGCAAGCTGTACGACTTCCAGGGTGCCTGTAACTACACTCTTGCGACCACGTGCGGCCATAGCACGAGGCAGTTCAACCTGACTGTGAGGAATGAGAACCGTGGGAACCCAGCCTGGTCCGCTATAAACTCCGTGGCCCTGTCCATACACGGCCTCCACATAGCCTTGAGGAAACATCGCAAGGTTTACGTAAGTGTCATTGCTTTCTTTTCACTATCCTTTCTTGGGACATGCTATTCTCTGAAGAACTAGGTTCCCATCTCGTGGCACCCCCCCCCAACCTTATACCATATATATATATATATATATATATATATTTTTTTTTTTAACATTATTACTTTCAGGTAAATGGTAATTTCGCCAACCTACCAGTGGAGCCAAGCAGTGAGATCAAAGTGTTCCTGAATGGGCCGTACGTCCAAATAGACAGCACCTTTGGTGTGAGGCTCCTGTTCGATGGTGAACACTTTCTGTTCCTGCAAGTGGACGAACGCTACAGGGGCGAGGTGTGTGGACTGTGCGGCACATACTCCGAGAACCAATTTGAAGACTTTGTAAAGCTGGACGGCGAGCTCGTGAGCAGGCCGGATGAATTTGCGAACAGCTGGAGGACAGAAGATGCCGACTGGGAGTATGTATCCGGGTGTGATGTTGGGTGGTACAGAAGAAAGAGCTTATTCAGCTTGCAGTTTAAGAAACTGCAGTCTTCATAATTGTACACAAGGGTTTATATTGATTAAATTTCGTAAAGGGTAACTGAACCTCACTGTATTGTGTTATGTTGCCCTATTACCCTCCCTGCAGGTGTCTGGCCAATCCCCCTCCACTGCCGAAGTGTGACACTCAGCTGGAGACCGCTGGCGACCAGCAGTGCAGCATCCTCTTTGAGGAACCCTTTAAGGCCTGCCACTGGTTCGTCAACCCCAAGCTATACGTGACCAGCTGCGTCCTCGATTATTGTGCCACGCTAGGCGATGGCCCTCAGCTCTGCACCTCCCTGGAGTCGTACGCAGCAGCCTGCCACATGGTGCAGGTGGAGCTGGGGGATTGGAAGGAGGCCACCATCTGTGGTGGGTAACTGAACCATGGGGGGGGGGGGTCAAAGGTCAATCACCATCCTTAATCATTAGCAGTTAAATTCTTCAGCATTCCTTATGTTCTAATCCAAAATTTGGGATATTTTATTCATTCTTAAGTACTCTTAGTTTGTACCGATCCTTTGTAGTGTCCTTTTTGGGTTTTTTTTTAGTAGTTAATAGAGATAGTAAGATCGATCACATTCTTTCTGCAACCCTTACAGCTAATTTCACACAAAGACCTACCGATGCAGCCAAAACAACTCCTTCCCAGTTAGGTAGGTTCCCCAGTGGTACAATATCTACTTTTTCAACTCATAGTTGACACCTTAAATTCAGCTACCTTGAAAATTGTCTCTCTCTTTAAGATTGCGCCCTGAACTGTAACTTTGAAGAGGGTACCTGTGGGTGGAAACAGCTTATAACCGACAGCTTTGACTGGTCAATATGGAAAGGATCGACAGATTCCAACCACACTGGGCCATCCCATGACCACACCACAGGGCGTGAGTAAACAGATCACCAATGCAGTGACATCACAGCCTATAACTACAGAATAGTTACATCACAAGCAAATTTATTGACAACAAAAATAGTGAGAGTGGCTTTTGAGTTTTTTTGTGAATGCCTGACTTTGGTAATTAATAATTACACTAATTACACTGCAGTAGGCCAATACAGACAACATAATAATATTGTTCACTTTTCTATGACTCAATATGCTTTCATTTTGAAATACCCATAATACAAAGTTACTGAATAATCTAAAAACAAAGTTTAGGCCTTCCTGTGGACTATAAAACACTTACATTCATTTTAATGAAAATAGTGCTGGGGTGGGGTATGTAGTTCAATGAGTTAAGCCTCTGTGGCTGTGATCAGATGGGTATTGGTTCGAGCCGAAAAGCCCCATCGCTCTACAGGCACCAAAGATGACTACCTTTCACTGTGACCCTCAAACTTGCCCTCAGCTATGAATCTCTCATGGAGAGCAGGATAGGATAGGCAAACAGACAATTTCCCCACAGTGATCAATAAAGTATCATTCTATTGAACCAAAGGAATAATGAAAATGTCAAAGCTATTTTCAGTACTAGAGTAACGCATGCATTATGCAATGCAACATTTTAGGTACAGAGTCCTCTCGCATATTAGTGTATTACACAACTAAATGCATTGCACAACTGATACAGGCAATAATCTTACAAAAGCACCATGGAGTGTGGCCTGCTGGCTCCTGCCCAGCTTCCGTCTTACCTGATCTATGGAGCCCTGCAGCTTCTGACCCCCCCATCCCACAGCTGGCCCGGATGTTCCAAGTCTGCTGGCCCGAATGTTCCAAGTCTGCTGGCCCAGTGGCAGAAATGTGGCTAACCTTCAGCATGTCCTGTAGGTTCCAGGCATTTGCTTTTTGTTTTAGCAGCATTGTGCAATATGGGCAGGAAAATGTACCGTCTCTCCTGCATTCAGTAGCCATGCTGCAAAGTGGGTGGAAGGTTCACTAGCTAAGGACTTTCCTCACTTAGTGCTGGAGATACGTTTTACTTTGCAAAGGTGAACTATTGAGAAGCTGATTAGAGCTGTGAAACTCTTTTTTGTTAATTTTTTTTTTTTTCATTTGTAGTAACCAAAAGGGTAAATAAAAATAAATGCAGTTGAATGAAAGAAATGGAAAAAATAGAGGAGATTGTAAACAGAGACAAAGAAATGGATAGTGATTTAACCACAGTCAGTGATCAACTGGCTCTGAAGTCTGATAAGATTACCTGCCATTAGACACAGAGGACCGTACCACAGGAAAGATTTAGCTGTTTACTTATATGTCACACTTAGAGACATCCTAGAGACAGATCACTTACTTGTAGGTAGGTAAACCTTCGGGCAGCTTTGGACACGTTACGTGTTTCAGATCATTAGCTTCATGGTGGGTTGAACACAAGACGGGATTCTCGTCGTTAAAAAAATGGAACAATACTAAAATGGTAGACGTATAAGAGGTGAGAAGATTCTGCAGGCTGGAGTGACGCCCGGGACAATGGGCAATGACAAGGAGACAGTGTGTGCTCATATGTATCATCCAGTACAGAGAGCACAATCCCGGACAGACAGGGCATTCGACCCCAGGCTGACCATTAAGTTCATTGTAAGTAATACTATGGATGAATAAATGTGAAAACAGCCCACTGTTTTATTACATGAGCACATCAATCTATGTCCATAACTTCTAAAACCCAACACTGTTCATCATCAGAATAATGTCCCTCCACTAATTGCCTTAGAGTCTGACTGTAGACTCTATCATGGAAATAAGGAGATAAATTATGATACAATAACATTCTTAATACATATTGAAAAATTACGAGAAAAAAAAAAAAACTAGTGAGACTGATTAACATGGCCATGGAATAATATAAGAATTATTTTGCTTGTTATATTTTTGGGTTATTAATTAAACACTTTGATGTCTCAATATTCTATTAACAGTTATATTAAAACTTTCATCTATTGAAATAATTCTGACCTTTCTTTCTTTGAAGCTGGTGTCTTTGACTGATAGATGTGGTTTTGCCTGGAAGGGTAGGGATCCTTATCAGATGAGGCTGTGTAGAGGAAAGCCTCAAATACATTTTGTGCTACACAATTTTCCCAGGACGTGTTATCTTAAAACTGAGGGGCTGTGGCCTCATTTTTTGTGCATTCAAAACCCATATACAGCATCTCTCTCAGCCGTAGACTACATGAAATTGTTACTTAATTACTGTGTGAACTAACCCAGTATCAACACACAGACTTGTCACGTCCAGCTATGAAGGCCGACTGAGATACGAAACACAGATGTAAAACTTTTAGGTCATCTTCTTGTCTCTGTCTGCTTCAGCAACTAACAGGCACCTTGGTGGACGCCTTAATGTGTCCTGCACTCTAGGCCCCCATGTGCTCCATGATGCTCTTTATTCCGTCAGTACATTTACATTTACTTATTTATCAAATGGCCTTATCCAAAGCGAGCCATGCTTGAGAAACGGGGTCAGGCCTGCCTCTCCGCTGCTGTACTTCAGGGCTTCCACTCTCTCACCATCCCTACCTCTATAGCAGCACATTGTGTCACAGGTCACCGTCACCCCTTTAGGCACCACTTTCCACTGACTCCACAACCCCTGCTGCCTCTCACACCCAATTGACCATTCAGCCCAGAGGAAGTGGAATCAACACATTGGCCGGGTGAAAAAACCTGCAGTATCTACACTGGGGTGGTTCACGGCAGTTAAGCACAGTGGTTGCCGTCTCTCTGTAACGTGCTTGACTTACCGATGCCTCACCCATGTAAATACCCTCTGTATCTTCTTTACCATTCACAATGTAAACAACACCACTCAGTGCGGGCTGTTTTATCTACCGGGAGTAGGCAAGTTTATATTTATGGTGGATAATGGTTTATAGATCTGATAGATGCTGTGTCAATTTGCGACTTCTTTTGTGATTGTGCCTGCATTCATGATCAGTTCATATGGCCCCAAGAGAAAAGCTCGCTGTGTGGAGGTCACATGACTCACACATGCTCTCACACCTTCAGTCAATGTTCCTAAATTAGTTGCAGTCTCGTCTTTGGTTGTTCAACAATTTGACACAACAAACAAGTACAGAGCCTTTGGCAGATGCCGAGACAGCACCTGTCATGCCTGCCATAGGCAGACCCACTGGGTGTCTCTGTGAATATTTCTGTAACACACAGTCTGCTGTATTATTACTATGCTTAGAAGCTGCGTAGAATAGCTAGCTAAACTGTACTACATTATTAATGGATTTTTTTCTATTTAAATGTATTTAGTCTTTCAGCTGATTTTATATTTTATGATAAGGGATGTAAATTTGTGGTGGATACAAACAGTATTGCTGAGATTCAATATTTGAATGGTGTGTGGTGGCCCCCACTATGATTCTGCAACAAAGGTCCTAAGATGTCTGTGCATGTGCATGCATCTGTGTGTGTGTGGGTTTGCATAGATCACATTTGAGGACCAAATTGTCCTTGTATTTGGGTTGGTTACTTATGGTTAAGGTTAGAGATGGGTAGGGGTTAGGGGTGTCGTGATTGGGATTAGGGTTTTTCCCATAGAAATGAATGGACGGTCCCCATTTAGATAGAAAGACCAACTTGTGTGTGTGTGTGTGTGGGTGTGTGTGGGTATACCTTACCTTATGGGGACACAATGTCCCCACAAGGTGATGCATATCATTTTTTTCCCTTATGGGGACCAATTTCCTGGTCCCCATAAGGGACAATTCAATTTAATAAAAATCTGTGACTGCAATGAAAAAACTAAAAATACAAAAACTCTTGTGTTTTGTTTGGTTACTTATGGTTATGGTTAGGGCTGGGTAGGGCTTAAGGTTGTCGTAGTTAGCGTTAGCATTTTTCCCATAGAAGTGAATGAGCAGTCCCCATAGAGTTATGTTTACCTGATGTGTGTGTGTGTGCTGGTGTTTCACAGGAGGGTATTACATGTACACGGAAGGCAATGCGGCTCACTATGGAGACTCCGCTCGGATGCTCAGCCCGCACTGCCAAGCCACAGGCCCCGTCTGCCTGCAGTTCTGGTACCACATGTACGGATCTGCTAAAGCTATGGCCCTCAACCTGTACCATTTGAAGGGAGCCTCAGCGGTCAAAATCTGGTCAAAGGTTAACAACCAGGGAGACCAGTGGAATCATGCTGAGGTAGAACTGGACGTTTTGAATGAGTTCCAGGTAGGCATTCCCCAGACGCATATAATAATATAAAAACCAATGAGACCCACCCCCCTTCCTGACATATTTTTTGTTTCAGGTTATATTTGAGGGGATCAGAGGCTCGAACTATGAATCTGACATGGCCCTGGATGACATATCCGTACATTCGGGACACTGCTCAGGTGGGGCTTTGATACAGTCTAACACAAGCACTCTGTGGGGGTGTCGCAGCCTGGGGATATTCTTGCCATACTCAAAGAAATGGTCTACCAAGAAACTCGCCGTCACACCAGGCCTATTGCTCCTGCTTTCTTGCTTTGACAGGGTCTTCCGACACTGGGCTGGAATCTACAGCTGACATTGGCCTCAAAGAGTCAGGTGTGCCACCAACATAATATTCGCGTTCCACACTTTATTTAATAATGCAGTGACTCAGGTTGGCTATATTGTAAGTTATAATTGTATTTTAGAAGTAGGGATTCAGTTGATTCTTCTTAAAACGTTATTTAAACAAGCTTTTAGTTAGATTTCTAGTTTCATATTACGTATTTTATTGCACATGTATTGTGAGTTTTGACTATTTTTGGCTTGTATAGCACTGTGTGACTGTTGTCTGTGAAAAGCGCTTTATAAATAAACTTTTACTTACTAATGGATTGTTATTGGTGGTATCACAGCATCTAGGGTTTTAGAATCAACATTCTTGGCAATATCTGTTAATAATCCATGTTGCTATATTTCTTTCCTTAATCCTGTTTTTGCCATTGCAGACTGTAAGCTCGACTGTAGCTTTGAAGATAGCCTCTGTGAATGGAATCAGCTGTTGACAGACAGTTTTGATTGGATGAGGCTGAGAGGATCCACGCCCACTTCCATGACAGGCCCGTCATCTGACCACACTACTGGAGGTGGGCAGTTAAACCAGTTTCATTGAGTCAAATCAGTTGTGTTACACTAAATGCAAAACATCAGGATATTTACCAGGAACACAAAGTGTTTCCAATTGGCATTGCTGTAGCCATTGTTATTCTGCAATCAGAGTCAGGTTATTAACTTCTTGACTTAAGTACTGAAATGAGAATACAGAACAAATAAAAGCACAATATTAACTGGCCCATGTGATGCCCCCATATGTGCAGACGGATACTACGTTTACCTTGAAGGCAATGGCCCCTACAATGGGGACACAGCACGTTTGCTTAGTGCAGAGTGTCCAAAAGCAGGCCCACACTGCTTGAGGTTCTGGTACCACATGTACGGCACAGCTGACACCATGGGCCTGACCATCTATCTTCTGGAGAACGGAATGGCAGTGAGGGTCTGGTCTCTGCGAAACAACCAGGGTGACACCTGGCATGGTGCACAGGTGGAAGTAAGAACTTCCGGAATGTTCCAGGTAAGTCTGTCAGCAGAACTGCTTACACCACAACCAGTAGAACAAGATATGCTGCATATTGTTTTTAATTAAATCTCTTTATGAAAATCACAGGTAATGAGTTGTTTTTATTTTTCTAGATCATTATTGAGGGTCGCAGAGGGACAGATGAACGGTCAGATGTTGCACTGGATGATGTGTCGCTTTCTTCTGGAAGCTGTTCAGGTATTACTAATATTCTTTGGACTCTGGGCAGCAAAAGCTGACATTAGAAACACAAATTAGCTTAACAGGAAGAATGTTTAAACCGTGTCAACTGTATCCTTACAAGACAGTGAGATTTCTAGAAAAGTCAAGCATATATTTTAATGCGCTAGTGCAAGCCTCTGCCTCTTGTATTAAACTGAAATAAGCAATGTCGGTAGTGGTCTGTGTTTCAAATGGTTGTCTAATTTGACTGCTATATCGTCTACAGAGCCACCTTCTCAATTCCCAATAGTTCCTAGTACCACTACAGGACCTGTGACCTCAACAGCTAAGCCAACACATCCACCAGTATACACTACTGACCCACAGTGGCTAGCAAATACTACCCAGCTAGCACAACCAACACCGACGACCACAAAGTCAAGTCAAGTGGTGCCAGACACCACAGAGTTCACAAAAGGACCATCAGAGACCACAATGTCAACAAAGCCAATGGCTAAGACAACAGCGATGCAGCTACCAGAATCAACTACAAGGAATACAACAGCAGTGATAGGGACCACAGTAACACCTAAACTGACAGGTGACACACACAAATTACACATTTTCACTTTGACCTGAAAGTTCACATCTTAGCTCTTGATAATTTGTAGTCTAAAGAAAGTCACCATTGCACACTGTCCTCTCTCAGGACCCACATGCCCTATGTTCAGCCATCCCTCCAGTTGTGTACCCGTCTGCCAGCCCACGTGTGAAGACCTTCATGGCCCGACCACTTGTCCCAGCAGCTTTCCCTGTAGGCTAGGCTGCGTATGTGATCATGGCTATGTGCTCAAGCAAGGCCAATGTGTGCCCTTCACAGCCTGCGGGTGTCTCGATGAGAAGGGTAACAGTCACCATGTAAGTACTTAACTTAAGGAATATTCAAAGGTGAAAAAGCTTAAATGTAAAAGGAGTTTGGATGGTATTGATAACCATATGTCTTTTGGCTTCTTCAGTTTGGTGATTCCTGGCTCACCGATCACTGCATGCAGAAGTGTAGGTGTGAGAGAAGGAACGGGAAAGGGAACATGATTTGTAGAGACCATGAATGTGACAGTAATTCAGTGTGCTACCTCAATGATGAAAGGAAGTTCGAGTGCAAGTCAACACGTATGTCATACTCGTGTTCTCCCCAAACGAGCTTGATGGGCCGAATGGCCTCCTCTCGTTTGTAAATTTCTTATGTTCTTATGTTTCTTAGAGCTTGCTTAGATGAGAGCATTATAGCCATTTGTCACCCACTCTTTGGTTTCTGCATTTAGGATTCGGCAAGTGTTCCATTTCCAAAGCAACCAAGACCTTTGATGACCTGAAGCATGGGTTCGAGTGCAAGTACTCATATGTCCTGGTCCAGACCATGTACAACACGGGGACGTTGCCACCAGTCTACATTGAAGGCAACTATGAGCTTGTGACAGATGATAATGACCACAGTGGCAACGGCAAAAACAATGACAGTAGCGAGGAAGACAGCAGCCCTGAGGGAGATAACAACAGTGAAGAAGACGACCATAATGGGTTGAGAGGGCTCAAGATTAGGGTGCACCAACACACCATAGAGTTTATGTCCAAGGGAAAACCCAAGGTAAATATGCTGTTTTGACTTATAAGACTTTTATCCAACTATCTGCTTGTCAGCTTTATCTGTCCTAAAGAGAGCAATGTGATTAATTAAACCAGTCTTTCCCATTCCGGTCCTCGGGGACCCAGAGAGTCCATGTTATTCCTCAGGAGTTGGGGGGGAGCAAGAATATAGACTGTCTGGCAGGGAGCCCGGAGGGAGCAAAAACATGGATCCACTGTGGGTTCCTGAGTATTGGATTGGGAAACACTGAATTAAACCATAAAATACAATATAAGGAGTGATAAGGAAATGATTTGCAGCATGTAGGTGGAAGACAACTGAGCTTCTAAACAAAGACATCTGGAAGTAAATGATAGTCACACAAATCAAGCACTGGAATCCTCCAGGAAACAGCACAGGAGCTTCAGAACACTTCTGGTGTTTGCTATAGATCTCTTGATTGCTGTTGCTTCTTGCCTTGCCTCGGTAAAATCGAACACAGCAAAAACAAACACAGGATGCTACACCTAAATGAGCAGATAATCAATACCTGAGCGGCCAGCAGATCTGGCAGAAAAGTGAGATAACAGGAACGTTATAAAAAGCATTTGCGACTTCGGTCCTTTTGTTTATTACAAACATTGGAATGTCCACCACTTTGATCCTGCCTTGCTACTTACTGTCCATCCACCTGGTTTATAGCTTGATGGAATTAAGGTACACCTGCCTGTTTCCACCGCGGAAGGGCTGGAGATCCGCAAGCGCTCATCTCGGACTGTCCTGAGGACTGATTTTGGCTTGTCGGTGGAGTATGATGGCGCTGGAAAAGCAGGTAACAGAAGAAGTTTCAAGGAAGTCTTCAAACATCATATCTATGCTGTAGGCTATTTGGACATAACAGACACTCCTTATTTAACAAGTTCCATTCCTATGACTAGGTCATTAAGCGAATTGGTCGATAAGCAAGGTGTAAAAGGTCTTATATATTACAGAACATAAAATACAATTAGCAAAAAGAACAAAAATGTTGTGCCAAAAAAAAATTGTGTGAACTGCGGGAATAGACTGAGACTGAGAAAAGCAAGATGAGATGCTTGACACTGACACGCTGTGCTGCCGTTTCCATGGCCAAACTTCTCGTACAGCATACGACTGGTTGAAGAGCTGGTCATAACTCTGTGCAGTTGTTAAACAGGCAGGTCGTTAAGTGAGGGGTGCCTGTATTATCCCAGGATGTTACATTTTTTTTAGCATTAAAGGGTTGGAAAAAGGAATGTATTTTTGATGTTTAACTTTTATTTATAGATAAATAAGAGACAGAAAATGAAGTACAAAACTACAGAAATTAAACTTCATTCTGCTTTTGCAACTTTGCAGAGATAGTCCTCCCATACACTTACAGGAGCACAGTGCAGGGCCTCTGTGGTAATTTTGATGGCAAGAAGAATAACGACCTGATAAAGCCAGACGGCAACCAGGCCACAAATGTCACAGAGTTTGGGGACAGTTGGAGGGTGACTGCAAGGATGGTGCCAAACAGATGGAGATACTACATACTGCCCACCAGGTTTGCGGAAAGGGGCAGACCTGTGGATTAATGTTAAACTGGAAATCTTAAAAGCCATAGCTTAGGTTGCGGTTTTATGAGTTGAACCCAAATATTTCACTTAGAAATAGCTGGTAACACTTTACATTAACTGCACCTTCATAATGCATTAATTTCACATTCATAGAACATTCATAAGCAGCATATTAATATACCTTAGCATCCTAATGTACCTTGACAGGTTTAATATACATTAACACTGGTATTTATTTAATACTTTTTGATTTTTTAATGTATGGAATTTATTAAATCAAGCTTTATTTTTATGTCTATGTTTTTCAGGTTACTATAGTTTAAGTTTTGCTAATTTTTTACAAACTTCACAAGTACCAAAACTAAGAACAAGTTATCCTAAAGTCCTTTATGTTAATGGTTCGGTTTATATAGGTTATATATTTTAGGTGATATCTAAACAAGCAGCTGACTTGCTGATAATGATTGAATAGCTACCTGTACAGATAACAACACTAGACAAATGTTTAACACACTAGCAGAACTCATACTCAACATAATACATAACCGGTTTGAAAATGGTTTGTTCAGTGTTCTGTTACTTTGTTTGTTTAGTGTATGGACTGGAAGCATATTGATTTATTACATTTAACTGTACTTTTCCAAAGTTAAATGTTTTTTTCATTTTGATCAGAGAGATTTAATCATTAACCTGACATATATCTGTTCAGAAGTTTTATAACTGTCATTACTGTTCGGGAAAGTGACAGTGCGGCAGCTCACTGACAGTTACCTCTATGCAATCTATTCCAGAGTATTTCCCCTGATGCACAGCAGCTCCGGTGTATCAGAGGTCAGCCCCACAGGGACGGAATAAAGCTGGCGACGGCTCAATATTTCTGAAAATCTCCCCCGACCCCTTTTTCAGCTCCAGATACAGCATTTGGAGGAGATAATCAGGACACGCGCTTTTCCGAGCCACTCTGGCAAACAGAGCGGGTATGTTGGTGTTTCCATCACAGGTTGGCACAGCACAGCCTGCTCGCAGCCCTGGCCACAGTCTGCACTCGAGCCGCGCCACGCTGAAGCCTATCAGACAGATGACTAACACAGAACTATCACCTATGCTACAGTCTTGGTTACCAAATGTATGTGTATTATATCGCCATTTAGTTATATTCAAACTGTTTCTGCCCACTGAATTATTTTGGGCCACAGTAAATGTTGACAAGGTACCTTTGTAACTAGAATATTTTCTCTGTGCATTTTCTCTTAAAATAATCGTACAAGTTTATACCTATACTTTCTTACAGTTTTTCTACTTCACAATATTTGCCAGGACTGAAACTACACATGCACGCACACACACACACACACAGTTTAGTAGTTTAGTCATCGAAACCAAATCTGGCTGTCAGTTACAATGAACCTGGGCAATTCAATCTAACCCAATAACTGTTTGATCATATCAACAATAGTTTTTCTGTTTTGGCAAATGGCCATAATTGCTACAGTTATATACTTATCTACTTCTGCTGGACCTTTTGATTTTAGAACTTTGGTTTTAGATTCTTTACCTGTATGAAGCAGCACTGAAGCATAATAATGTTTATTAAAAATTATTCAATATTGGTTGTTCAATATAAGCACACTCTTCAGGGCCTCTCTTGGGGGGGGGGGGGACAGAGGTACTGGAGAATGCCTCACTTGACAAAGCCACGGGGGAGCCACCATGAGTCAGATGGGGGCTCAAGATGTTATTTCATCAGCGACCCCAAAATTACTTGCTACGCCCCTGTTTAAGCATGTCTGATCTACCCAGGGATCAATTTTGCATCATGTGCCACACCAGAATGACTGGCAAGTTCTTTTTTACAAGATGCCAAATTTTGGCAATAAATATACACTAAATAGTGTACGAAATGTCAAGAAATACAAGACGCAATTTTGTATACGACATTCTAAAATATTATAATGGATCATTCCTTTATTTTAAATATGCACATTGATTACATATCCATAGGAAAATGTGACCTGCACTCCAAAAGAACTGAATGGTGATTTGATTCCTGCATAAAACTCACGACTCACGACTTACACTCTCCTCACATCAAGGAAATTCCTGTCATGAATGGCTGTTTCCTGTCATTTTTTTTTCTTTTTTTTTCTTTTTAAAAGCGTTACATCAAGCTTACACCTATAGTTAATAGACTGTTATACATTTGAATGAAACCCAGACAGAAGGTTGGGGAGTTATTACATAAGAATACCAAATTACATTATTATGATTTTGGGTTAGATGAACTAGGTAGGTGGGTAGGTAGGTAGCTACTGCCATCTTCTGGGAGAAAAGGGTAAATAGAAGCAGGGATCGAAAAACAGCTACAGACGCGAGTGTCACAAAAGCAACAGAAATAGTATTTAAGTGTCACGATGTGTAATAGTAATTGTTCCTTTGTACTTTTCAATTAGCAACTCGTTATTTTTTCTTCATCTACGACCTGGCACCTTTGTTCACTTTTATCGGCATATTCACATTGATCCTGATCGAACACTATCCTTCTTTTTCTTTGAAAGCGGGGAAATATGGAGGACTAGACATGACATAATTATAAATAAGTAAATGTGTGAATAAATAAGTAAATACTGAAATAAATAAATACATAAATACAGTTTGGCCATGAAAACTGCTAAATGGATTCCTATATTTGTTTATTAACGTATTTAAATATTTATGAATTTCCACATTTCGTCATTTATTTATTTATGTATTTCCACATTTCTACATTTATTTATTACTGTATTTCGAGCTTCCTTGCGACTCAAATAGAAATGCCTCGACTTTTAACCAATCATGCTTTTGGGACCGCCCACCTTATTAACATACAGAGACAGAAATGCAGAAATAAATGAATGTAGAAATGTGGAAATACAGTAATAAATAAATGTAGCATAATACTACATTACTGTACAGTGGTACCTTGGAACATGAACTTAATTCCAGAAGTTACAGAAGGCTGGTCGAGCTGTGATTTGGATGAGGTCAAAGTCAAATTTCCCCTTAAGAAATAATGTAAATGAATTTAATCCCTTCCAAACCCCCAAATGATTAAACTACCTAACTAATGATAAAAACATTAACAATCAATATAAATCTAACACGTGAAAAGCACACATACAAAAGCGATAAACATGAAATAAATGACAACCCAATACCCCAAAGCGAGAGCAGACACAAGTTACTCTCACTACTTTCCTCTTTGGTTTGCTGCCATCACTGCTCACTTTCTTAGGGGCCATGATTACCGTATCACTAAATGTACCGTAGATAAAGCACAAAATAGTCACACTGAACACAGGAACGCAGCTTTCGCCTGTAATGCTTTGTTCTGTTCCGAGTTTCGACGCACACAACTTTTAGCAGGAATGGTCGACTTCCATGATTTTGGTCGAGGTGCAAGTCAAAAAAATTCAACAGAGCCATTCGATTCATGGTCGCCTCCTAGGAGAGAATAATGAAACGTTCCCAGTTCCTACCACAGAAGTTCACCATGCTTGATCAATACATGCAGACATGCATACACACATACTGTATATACATCTATCTTAATTAGATTCATACAATTAGCTAAATAATACAAAATATATGGCCTCATCTACATTGTCTGAAAAAAAAGGTACAGTCCCCAAGGTACAAACAGAATTAATGTGTCCTCAATGGTACAAAAGTGCCGTGAGTCCATTTCTGTACCTTAAAAGGTACATTTCCCTACAGCTAGGGTACAACTGGCAGACCCTTGAGGGTACAGCCCTAGTGACAACTAATTGTTTAACCCTTTCTGATTGTATATCTGTAAATAACTTTTACAGATTCACATACTCAGGCACACATACCTGAATACTGTTTCATTTGGAATAGAATTTTATGAACCAAAATACAACATCTGCCAAGGATTTTAAAAATGAGAAATATATTGAGTATCACTACTTCAATTTTTATGTATAGTACACAAAATGTAATGTGCCGCAAAAACAAATACACGTATGCTATAAAATTATATTTTAAAACAAGCTGAAAGATGAGTGTATAAATACAAGCCTTGTTATAAAAATATGTAATGCATTTTTCTTCCTATAACTTGCATCTATAGAATTATTGAAGGACAAAGAGCCAGACTTTAGTAGATAAACACATCAAATCCAAACATGACTGCTTGCCAAGTCTAGGGAAAATACATTGTTTACTGTTATATAGTATATTCACACCAATAATTTTGAATAGTAATCATGCAATAAAAGCACACAAAAGTTTCAAATATACTCTTTAGGCCTTCACAAGTATTTCCTGGAAAGATTTCTGTCAATTAGCAGAATTTCTGTCAGTTAGGTGGTTCTGTCAACCAGCTCAATCCCCTGGGTTTCACTGAATGCTTTTTTTTCCTGCTTCTGAGTTCCACAAAATAACATGTCATACACGTGTGGAAAAAAAGCTGAGGGAATTTCCAAAAGGTCCTGCGATCCTGACGGTCTTCAGATTTGACTAATGTCTGAATGATAAGGTGTTTAGGGTGTGCTCTCGTCTTCAAAGTCAAGCTTCTCCACCAAGGAGTTCTGGTTGTATTTCCCAGCCCACGCGCTGGCATCACCGAACTCCTCGTATGGATCTTTTTTGTCCTTGTCGTGACCCGCAAAACTCCGGAAGAGGGTGAGAGCCAGAAAGGAGTAGAACAACATGACAAAGAGGATGTAGAAGTAGGCATTGTCGTAAGGCTTGGTGCTAACCTCAGCCTCAGGGACAGAGGTGACGTTGACAGGAGCCTCGGTGACATGGGACCCCATCTCCTCTTGAAGGAGCTTCTTACACTCAGTGATGAGAGTGAGGAGCAGCGTGTGATTCATGGTGGTGGAATGAGGGAGCAAAAGGAGAGCTGCCAAATACCCTGCCGTGACTCTCCAATGCCTTGATAGGGGGGTGGGGGGTGCATAGTTAAGATTAAATTCCTGGAACTAACATGCTCACTTTCACAGGATAGGGGTGCAATTTGCTCTATGCAAATTACAGAGACTGCTATCACAATGTAACCAGGCTGATTTTTGATTATTTTTAACTGCACCAAATCCTGATTCGGGCAGAGGAACGTTTTGTTTAAAGTTAAAAATGTGTCCTTTCACACTGGGGGATTTTTCACACTGAAGTGTTTCACTTGCCTGTACTGTCACTTTAAGGAAGTGCAGCTTTCACCGTCATTACTCACCCAGTATGAACTGAGATGCGTGCTTTATTTTATCAGCTAAAACAAAAAATCTATTTTCAGCATGCAGAACAATGCTAATTTTGCATAGTGCAGGTACATGTACGCAAAGAAATACAATTAACCACCTAGTCCTTGGGGAAAGATTGGCATACAAGTGAATAGATGTCATTTCAGAGTCATGTGTCACGAGTAGGACTCTCAACATTCGGGTAAAAACACATTTTGACTTTCACATTTCCAGTTGCTCCATCCAGAAATTCTAGAAATTGTAGAGGTTGGGGGATGTGGGAGAAACAGAGATTAGATTGAGGGAGGGGTGATGGAACTGTTTGGGGAATATATGTAGTTCCAATAGCATGTTTTCTTAATTTGTAAATGGAATGAAAGACCTGTGTGCATGGAAAAGAATAACCTACAGAGCTATTATTTTTAGCTACAGTGGTACCTTGGTTTGCAAGCATAATTCGTTCCGGAAACGTGCATGTAATCCAAAGCACTTGTATATCAAAGCAAATTTTCCCATAAGAAATAATGGAAACTCAGATGATTCGTTCCACCACCCAAAAATGTTCATATAAAAATGATTAATACAAAATATAAAGTAAAAATACATAAAACAAATTAACCTGCACTTTACCTTTGAAAAGAATCATGGATGCTGTGAGGGAGACGAGAGAGGAGAAGAGGAGGGTTATTTTGTAGGACGACTTTCACTATAATTAACGGAATCACTGCTATCTGTTGGCTCACTGGAATCTTTTTCTTTTTGTACGACTGTACCAAAGAACCTATCCAGTGACAGCTGCTTTTGCCTCCTTTTTGATTTCGTGGAAATGTGACATTGCATTGCTGTTAAATATATTCATCGCTTGCACTGCTACGGCCTTATTCGGGTGGCGCTTTTCTACTAAATTTTGACTATACGAGTGTGGCACGCCGACTGAGACCAAGCATGGGAAACGATTACCCACAATCCTGCAGCACGAGAGAGGGAGAAGAACCATTGGCTCAGTTGTGATTATGTGACGCTAGGCAGACAAAGCGCATACGTAATACTCGTATTGCAAGACCTCGCTCGTTTATCAAGTCAAAATTTATTTTTAATTTTTGCTCGTCTTGCAAAACACTCGCAGACCAAGTTACATGCAATCCAAGGTTTTACTGTACAGACGCTCCTCTACTTACGAACTTTCAAGTTACGAACTTTCAGACATACGAACAAAGAGGACTGCAAATCCAAACTGTGTTCCTTGGGCTCCCGTTTCCTGTCCGCAACATCAATTTTTTTTCTGCATGTCAATTCCGCCTAGTACGATTTCTGGCCGCTACTCCCGCTACACAGCAGCATAGTGTGCGTACTCCCAGTATCCTAGT